GCGGAAAACAAGCTTGCTCGATAACTCGCAAACAATATTGTATAAAAGTTCTATAGAATGTATAGAAAAGTTAAAGTGATCCGATACCAGCGCTGCGGCGAGTAGTTCGCGGAACTGATAATATTCAAATCAACCGTTAAACGCGTAAACGAAGATACACAATGAACAGTTACGTCTGTTTGTCTGTGATATGACCCTGTCTTGACCGGACCGAGGTTTCCAGCCTCGGCCACGGCAACACAAATTAGCGATGCAGCTCCCACGGGTGCGGCTGCTTCTATTGCTGCTGCTGCTGGTGGTCCGTCACCTCCAAAATTCGTTACAAGAATGACTTCAACGAGCTTAGGTACTTCATATTTATACCTGCTAACCTATCAAAATTCTCTAACCAATGAGATTTTGTTTAAATACGAACTATCACGCTTCACGCTCACTTGATTCTACTCATTATTTATTCAACACTAACTCTATCTACTACAGTGCTCAATGAATGAAACTGATTCTAGGGGTCCGTGATTTCTTTTAAATCATATGTACGTACGCTACATGAACGAATTGGAATCTGAGGTTGGAGTGTGGGCACTGTTCAGTGTCCTTATTATGATGATTGAGCCAGATGGTCCTTATTATGATGAGAAACTTTGCCAAAGACACCAAGTCGCGGAAATGGATCGGTTAGTAGTTATTAATTTTGCTCTGCTTGATTGCATTCCTGACCCAGCGTGCACTGGAGGCCATGGGTGGCCTTCCGGAACATCCGACATCATGGTATTTTAATTAAACTGATCCAAGTGCTCCGTGATATTTTTAAATCAATTGTGCTGATCCTACATAAAATAATTCCTGTGATCAAAATGTGAACTCTCGGAGAGGTACAGAATAGCTCTCGGAAAGATCCAGAACTTCGGTGAAATTCGTCAATGCATGAAACTGATCCTAGGAGCTCTGTGATTTGTAGTGATGATCCATATTCCTGTCCTGGTTTAAAATATAGTCACTGAGCTTTAGAATTAGATTAATAGACAACTTGAACTTAAATATTGTAGATCTTCCGGTGGTTCTGATCCCGAGGTTCTGCATTTCACTATACGCAATCTAAAAAGAAATCTCTATGCTAGTGAAATAGCTTCATAAATTCACAATTTTTACATAATTTTGTCATAAATTATCATAGCAAGTGATACGAAAAAACTACAAGGGACATCCTTATGGGGTTGTACGCAATGGTGACGTTTGACTACTTATATATTAAATCTTATTTGTTAACTGCTGCAGGAGCTTTTGTTTCGTGTAGGAATAGGAATTTGAGCGGGGTTCTCTCTGTTTATACTCTTCAGTATGAAGCGTTTGACATAGATTGCCCACGGCGACTCACGAAGAGCTACTGATTCCGATCAATAGCTGTGCGGCTTCTTCCTCCTTCTATGAATGCTCATGTGGGCTGCAGCTCACTGCTTGCAGACAGCCTTTCGTTGTGTACCACGCGGTGATTGAATAAACACCGTTTAGTGAGACCGGATGGAATTCCACTTTGAAATCTATGTTAGGGAAATCGCTTTTCGCAGGCAATCGATGATAATTTTAATTATCATAGCAACAGTTGAACATTCGTGCAATTTAAAATAGTGACATTTTGAAAAATCATAAAGTCTTATTTAAAAATTCCTATCGATTGGTGTATTAAGAATCAAAATCCATCATATATGGATCAAAATCAGACCACTTTCATGCCGCGACCGACTTTGGTTTTTGAAATTGCACCCCCAATGTTGCCTTCAAGAACATGGTATGTTAGATTTAAACATGTCTAGATAGAGCTGGAATCAGGCGTAACAGCTTTTGACGTAGGACTACGTCTGTGATTTCTATATGGAGGTACACTTTGTGAAAATCAAAAATGGAACATGTAACAAAATTATGAAAGATTTGAACGTTAATAACTCAGTTCTTGCTGGACCAATTCCATTAATTTTATCACCAAACGATCAGATATATTTCTACACATCTGTCAAATTTAAGACTTTATCAGTTTTCAAAATGTAACTATTGGAAATTGCACGAATGTGCAACTGTTGCTTTAATAATTAAAATTATCACTGATTGCCTGCGAAAAGAAATTTCCCTAACACAGATTTCAAAGTTGAATTCCATCCGGTCCCACCAAAAGTTGTTTATTCAATCATCACGTGGTGAGTGGTATGCTCTCCAGTACACAACGCTACCTGCAGGCTACCTGCAAGCAGCGAGCTGCAGCCCACATGACCATCCATAGAAGGAGGAAGAAGCACAGCTATTGATTGGAATCAGTAGCTCTTCGTGAGTCGCTGTGAGCCATCTATGTCAAGCGCGTCATACTAAAGAGTATAAACAGAGAGAGCCCCGCTCAAATTCCTATTCCTACACAAAACACAAGCTCCTGCTGCAGTTAACACATAAGATTTATTGTATAAGACCACGTAGTCCTACGTCACCATTGCGTACAACCCCATAGGGCTGTCCCTTGTAGTTTTTTAAACAGACTTCTCTCGATGATTTTTTAGGAATTCAAGGCACGCCCACGCAAACCAAGATTACAATCGGGTAAGGGAAGTCTGGTGATGTTAATTTGCATGGGCGAGCCTTGACTTTCAAGACATCATCGAAAAAAGTTAATGTTTACAAGAGCTGTTATGCCCTAATTCCAGCTCTATCTTGATATGGAAACTGACATCCGATTGATGACCTTGACAAATGTTCAAAAAATACTCTTTTACAAACTTATGGTGGTCCTGAAAAGGACAGTTTTGTCGTGATGGTTGAGCAATGCTGAGCTATAAGGGTGTTAAACGCAACACGAGAAAAGGGCCTATCATTGTTGATCGATTCTCTTCATATATTTTCTCTTTCGTGAATAACCCGACTGCAAATGAATTTCCCATTCAGTGTGTTGTTTTAGGCACAAGCTAACATCATCTTCTGTCGAACTGTCCTACGAGCTTAGTGAGAAATTCGTTTATGTTGCCGTGAAAGTCGATGAAGAGAATCGATCAACGAGGATAGGCCCTTTTCAAATGATACGCGAGAGTTTACTAAATACATCACATGACATACAATATTGACTAATCCACCGCACAAAGATTAAAGATCCCTCTAACATTCGTCCAAATGGTTTGACTTCGAACTGTTTATTAAATTGTCATCGCCATCCAGTCTATTGGAACTTACTGTGTGAAAATCAAAACGGAATTCAATGCTTCATGTGCAGTAGAAATTTTTCCCTCCAAGGATACAAAAAAAAACATTTTTGAAACGCGATCCCTTGCTCTAGCTACTTCCTAGAGATGCCTTAACGAGCGCAACGAGACTGCCAGCAAAACGGCGCAATCCATCCCGAAGTTTCATTGTGAGCCGAGACAGGCCTCACATCTCCAGACAACTACGGGGCGGAAAGCAGAAAAGTAAATGAATCCAATTAATTAACAGCTATTTACAATTTACACCATTCTCCTCATTCGGTACTAGTTTTGTTCCCGGATCCTGGAACGACGATGCGACAAGGAAACAGCGCTTCTTGGCCAAGATCCCAAAAATAGTATGAGGAAGCGAACCTTAGCAGAGCCGGGCGTCTGGCGTTGGCACTTGAATGACAGGCGAGAGCGGCCGGCGCCTTTCGGGAAAGACTCTCGGATCGTTCTTCCAGCTGGAGCTGATGATGATGACAAAGATGAACATGACACTCAACGGGGATGCCACACCATTCCGGCATCCACCCGCATCGACCGGTCGCTGACTGCATTCCTAATTGTTCCTCGTCAGTCGGTCGGTTGGTCGGTTCGCGTGGGTTTGTTTCACCGGCATGCACACCCGGATGGCACGATGATGCCAGATGGTGTTGGTTGAGACAGATGTGCCACAATGGCTATCAAGAGCATGGGATGGAGGATAAGCCCATGTCAAATGAATGTTCCTCCGTCACCCTTTGCGAGGTGATGAATATTTGAATTGGTCTGATGAACTGCTATTCAGTACCACCCGCTACCCGGATTCGATTTGGTGCATTTTACCGATAAACTGATAGAACAATCTTCCAGCTGCGTACAAAATTAAATCCTACCAAAATGTATCATGTAATCCTCCGTTAAGTAAGCCAATCAACAGCTCGTTAGCTGCTCTAATCTTTCGAGTCAGACATCGTTCAAGCCGTCATAAGAAGAGCAAATTTTCCATTTGTTCGGACGTGATTGCCCTCAGAATTCAAACGACTGTAGGACGAAGAGATAAATGAAGTGTTAAACACGGACGGAGAAGATTTGACTGTGCTCTAGTACCTACTCTAGTGGCAAAGTGGCGTTCTAAAAACCACACTACAGCTGCTCGCTCACGTCTGTCTTTATCTGGGACGGAAATTCCTCTCGCAGATAGAAGGGAAAATCCGAGACGCGTGCTAACAATTAATCAAACGCTTCAAATTCCTCGTCACCACCGACAAGCATCTCAACATGTATCTCGTCCCACCGGTGCCGAACTAACTGAGTAAAGAGGAAGTAGCTAACGAAAAACATCACTTCCCAAGCTATTTGTCACTTTGTCGGAGAAGGAAAAAATAAATTGTAGCTTTAAACGATTCTCACCTCGCCAACCATTCCCACACCGCTCCCAACCAACCAGAAAAATTTGAATCCAGAATCAAAATCCGAGATGACATCTGGAATGATGATCGATTTGGAACAGCTTCAATGGTTGAGCGAGGAAAATGAAACAAATGTATGGTTCGACGATAGACAATTTGACAAATAAAACAAACAGAGCATTGCCACCACTGTCGGTCTGTGATTGACTGTCACCCACAGTTTAAGCAGACCCCTCCACGCCCAGTCAGACGCAGTGACTTGACAGATTCTTGACTGCCACCTGTCATGGGCAAAAGCGGGATGTGAATAGATTATGATTATAAATATTGAATGCACTATTCTGGAGTGAGTTCCAAATTTTCAATTCCGCATTCAGGGTACGATACTCACCGTGACACGTCCGACCATCGTGCTCATCGAGCACAAATCCATGATAGCAAGAGCACTGGGCCTTCGAGCGAGATTCGCGTTCATCATGGACCACATGGCATTCATGGTCACAACCACCTTGATTATCACTACAGCTTGGTACTTCATCAGTGGTCACCTCTGGTTCACTTTCATCCTCACCATCTTCTTCGTTATTGGTAAGTTCATCTTCAGTCTTAGGATGCAATTCGGGAGGATGTATCTGTTCCACCCTGGCTTCAATCTCCTCACTATGGTGATGCCCATGCACGGCAGTGGAATGAGAAGTCGATTCCACGTGGATATTTTCATCTATTGGTATATCCGGTAGTACCGTCGCTGGTGTTGTTGTAGTTGAAGAGGTATGCTTCGATAACTCATGCAGTTTATCGCCATCTTCTGGTTCAGTTGGTCGTTGTCGGTCTTCTGCTTCTTCCTCGTCTTCTTCGTCGTACTCTGAAATGAGATGATTGAAAAAGGAAACGGTAATTAATTGGTGCTTCCGATTTATTTTGATAAACCATTTAAATCAGAGCCAATCACTTTGCGGCTTGTTTTGTCATTCTTGTCCACGATATTGGATAAGTTCTATTTTGCAATAGAAACAGGATAGAAATGCATTGGGTGAAATATCGCTCTTATTGACGCGTCTTATTAAAATAATCATCATTCAAATTTATCAAAAGAGCAGTACCATGCCAAAATTTTAATCGATAGGACTCGACCTTCTCCGATTTGCATGAAACTTTGCATAACTGTTTGCTATGGGCAATCATGAAAAAAAATCAACACAATTTCAAATATGCCTTCCAATTATTAGGTTTCTTTTTATAGAGATTTTTAGTAACTCTATGTACGTGTTACTTTGAAAGTCAAAACATTCGAGAGAATAATTAATTTTATAAAATACCGTCTGCAGAGTCGTTCACTTCCACTGCAGTGCTACATATATCATTTGTACCTAGCATGAAACTCCTTTTCAGCGGTACTGATCATGCGGGTAAGAGGAAGCCAAACTATTTCTACACCAAGATTGCAACACATTATTTTAGTACCATATTTTTGCTTGATGTCATCCCAATTCAAATTATTCAAATTGCTTACCAAATGCATCTCCCCAGTTCCCATTCCATTTTCAGCGAATTCCAATAACCAAAATATCTAAGTCACTTTGCCCCGCAGGTCCACTATTCGCATCGAAGCTATTTCGCCTTCTATGTCCGACCCGAGTCTTTTAGAGTCAAATTCCCTCACCACCACGCAGCAGAGGAGATGGATGAGCCAGATGGAATCCGCCACGGGGACCAATATTTACAAAGATTCAACATTTTATGAACATAATAAATTGGATTAAGCGACACTAATCTCCCGCACGGCATCATTTCACGATCTTTTAGCCCAGCCGACCGCGTGACCGCGTGCGGCGGCCGTGTCGGCGGATTCTTCTTCATCTCCTCCGTCTTGAAGCTAGGGTCAAAAGAATTAGCAGCTCAATCAACCTCTACTAGTTAGCTCAGCCAAACAAATCCAGGGTGGTGGATATCGATTTCATCCTCTCTCGCGCCGTTAAGCGAAAAGATCCGAAAACCCCGCGAAAGGAAGATTGATCAATTCGGTTTTGTTTTGATCAGTGACAAACTGGCATTGTTCCTGCCACAGCTCCCTCCTGACCACCCATCCGATCGATAATCTTCCATTGTAAAAAAAACTGTAATTTAAAAATAGATCAGTATCTTGGATCTATCACACTTGGTTCTTTCACTTTTCCCCGGCAGCATAGCTTCGCTTCGTGCTCCCTTTTGTTCGGCGCGAAGATTTCCTCTTCAGCTTTGGGTCTGGGAGTGTCGAAAAGACGCACTCCTAGTATCCAAATGTCGAGATCCCGTCAGCTCTAGTGCATGGCTTGCGATTGGAATGACGAAAAGTAATCAATTCAATAATAACATTTTTTTTTCCCTCCCCCGCTCGCTCGGTGAGTGGGGAAATTTTTTGGCATCTTTAATCGATCCCACCAAAACTAGATAAAGGTGAGATTCGATTCCACGCGCAACCGTTCGTTCGAGCGAAGAAGATGAGAAAGATCGCCGCCGACGCCTCCACCCTCACCATATCGGCGACTCAGTACCTGATACATACCTTGCCACGTCCGAGAGCGCAGGGAAATGAAAACGATCCGATGATTAAATTTGGTAGATACGACTGCGACGGAGATTGGGCTTGCCGTTGTTGGTCTGGTCGTCGCGTGGACTAAATTCCTATTCAATGATGACCGGTGCACGTGGTGTTTTCGTTGCTGCCGTTGGGAACCTTGTTGCGAATCGTTCAAGGTTTAATTTGAGGAGGGCGCCTTGTGGTTTTCGGTAGTTCTATACTGCTACAAACACATAATAGCAGAGTAGTACATGAATAAAGGCAAGCGAAAAGGGATTTACGTGGCTTTCGGTGCACTTCGGACTCGCTATAGACTCGCGCTTTATCTAGATTAAACTGACCAGTGGTCACACTTGCTTCCGACGGAGCACGGATAGCAGCTTGTGGGTTCTGCTGGCTAATGAATGTATACATTATATTGGAATTTCAGGCCGGTGCATACTGGTACACTGTTTCGGAAAGGGACGATTTAGGTGAAATCCTTTTATCAATGTTTTAACTACACAGCAAGAAATAAAAAATTTTACACGTAACCGAGTTCACCCGTAACATAAAGGATGGTAAATGTAACCCGACCATATTTAATTGAATGTGAAAATTAACGCTTGTCTACGCAAATTAGATAGTATGTAAATGTAAATGTGGGTTTCTTAACTCCCCTGTATATAATTCTTGCGAAAAGTGTAATGGCAGCTGTTTTAATGGATTTTTTCCAGAACAAATAGTTTCGTATCAAACCTTCACCAGATGATTTTCTAGAACCAACGCATAGAGGGAAACAAACTTTGTGCGAAAATTTAACTAAATTTAACTGTCGTAACTCAGCCACGATCCAGCACTCTCAAAAACATTGGCATTGGACAAGACTTCGGATGCGGGATTTCTCCCTTTCGGAGAAAATCAGAAAGCTTATTTTCTTGCTGCGATATGTCAGAAGACTAATTTATTTCCAGCGGCGCCGGTGGTGTAGAGGTAAGCGTGATTATCTCTCACCCCAGCAGGCCTGGGTTCAATCCCAGTCGGCGCCGCCGGGATGTTCTGAGGCATAACATCTCTGATCACGCCTTCCTTCGGAAGGGAAGTAAAGCCGTTGGTCCCCGGTTCATGAGTTGATGGGTCGATAGGTAGGGTCCAGGTGTGGGAGCTGCCTCCCTGGCGTCGGTAGCATTGGTGCTCAGCACGGAAAACAAGATCGACGGAAAACAAACCAAAGGAAAAAAAAAAAAAAAATTATTTCCACTTCCATTTCTCAACACTCAATTATTGGTGAATCATAGATGTTCGAATGTTCAAACATTCGTAGGAATGCTTTTGTTATTCATTCCTTGAGATGAAAAAGCCAGTTGGTTTTTTTTTAAACTTTATTAGAGAGATTTTTAGCCGTTGGCTAGTTCATCTCTATAAAATGGGAGGCCCCAGAGGGGGGTTCCGCCAGCAAATTTTGTTACGGAGTTGGCTTACAATTCACATATACTCAAATAGAAGCCATTAAAACAGATTCCAGTAAAAAGACTAACAATACAGGCAACGAGAAGAAAAAAAAAAACAATCTGGTTTGATGTACCAGTTATGTAGTTAGGTAGGGTACGAATCGGATAGCACCAGTATGGGCCGGTCCGAGGGTGTTGTAACGGCAACAAAGATGGCCGCAGCTTCAGCGGAGAAAACCGAGCATTGTGGTGGTAGGCTGCTACTCATCGGTGCTGAAATTCCGGCTACTCCAATTCCGACCCCAGCTCGGGAAAGCGATCCGTCTGTGTATATATGGGCATGGGTTGGATAGTCCGAGCCTAGCAGTTCGGCTATTGTTCTCTTCAGCGCTGCAGAGTTATCTCCAGCCTTGAACCTGCTCTTTATCCGACTATCGATTTTTGGTGGAGGTATGCGCCAACTTTTGTCTCCGTACCAGTGGACCTTGGCCACTGGGGGGAGCTCCGAATTGGCAGTCATGCGGAGGAGTCTGTTCCCCTCATCGAGGAGAAAGATCCTGTCATTTCCGGAGGTCATTGCGGTAAAGGCAGCGGCTTTCGTTGCAATTGCTGCGGTTATACGATGGCGGAAGGGCAGAATACCCGCTTCGATGTATGCGGCATCGGCGGGCGTTGACGGAAGAAAACCGGAGACAATCCGAACGTAGGTGTTAAAAGTTGGTGCTAGTATCTGCACGAGCTTTTCGGTGGCGATGCACGTCATCTCAAGACCGTACAGTAGGCGACTATCGATGACGGCTCTTGCAACCCGGAAACGAGTGTCACGATTGTTAGACCGGTGGGGGCGAGAGATAGTGCGGATCAAGTTGATCCTACTGCGGCAGTTGTTCTTGATCGCCTTAAAGTGCTGCTCGAAGTTGAGGGACCGGTCAACAAGTACCCCCAGAATACGGACCGTCTTCTTCAGTGGTATTGGCTGGCTTTGAACTTTAATAGGTGGCCCGCTGACACGGTGCCGGGATGGACACACGTGGCACCTGACGCCTTAGCCAGCTGGCTAAAAATCTCCATAATAAAGTAAATAAAATTTAAATCCTTGTTGATGATGTAACGATCAGGAATTTTGTATAAATTTGTTTATAACTTAATAGGTTTTAATTGTTTGAATTATATTCCTTTGTGTAGGCAGTAGGAAGACACAAGCATTTTTGCTGAAATCTTTCCCAAGAGGGGTCCATTTAATTTCCCCGGTAATCGAGACTCAGGGGATCTCCACGTGGACACGGTCCACCCGTCGGTTCGTCAACCTGCCGGCACGGCAGAGGAACCGCCATCGCACCGGCGTGTGAAACGCCATTGCTCGAGCTCCATTCATCGGATCATCATCGACGATCGCTAACGAGTGCGTTGAACCCGTGGATAGGTCATCGACTGTGACCATCACTTAAGCCAACGATCATCAGGTGAGTCAAACCCTTTTTTTTTACTTTGGAGTGTGGCGTCCAGCGAGGGCGCTACGTAGTGATGTTTTGCCAGTCTAAGATTTTCCAGACCTCGTGATTCTCGCCTGTAAAATATGCGCGCGTAAGATTTCCGACGCCACTCCATTGTCACCAGGAGCGCAGACTCGTTTAGAGCTGAGTTCAGCGTTGCCAGATATACCGATTTATCGGTATTTATACCGATTTCCGAACTAGATACCGATATACAGATAAGGTTCCTCAGAATACCGATTTTTGCGATTTTATTTAAATGATTACAATTATTATTGCCTGCCCCCGCTCGAATTTTGGTGAAAATTTTGTGAGAGACTTGTATCTTTTTGAATACCTCATATTTTTTTAGCCTTCAAAATTCTAAACAATCATCTCTAAA